AACCGAATATGCTACTCTTTCAAGAACACGGGGTCTTGTTCGAGAGAGAATTGTCCATTCAAGCGTGAGGCAGCAGCATCACCTGCTGCCAAGGCTGATGCAAAGGCTACGCCAAAAGCTGAAGCAAAGCCGAAAGCCGAACCTGGCGCAGCAGCCAAGAAGACACCGAAGTCAAAGGCCAAGCCAGCTGCGCCAGCTATTCGAATGTGCCGAGCATGGAACACCTGCTATTTGGAAGCGGTCCTCGTACATGGTTGATGACGAGTCAGAATGCTCTTCCGTTGATAGCGATGCGGACTCGGGTTGTTCAACTGAAGATGAAGCGCCTTGTACCAGTGCTCCCAAAGGGCGCAAAGTTACGTTCGCCAAAGACGTCAAGTACCAATCCTCCAGACCAAGGAGGTCGTACAAGGACAGGAGCCAAGAAGTGATCAAGGTGAACATGAAAGCGGTGGTGGAGCATGAAGATCGTGCAGTTGAGCTTGAGTTCGCGAAGCACAAGGCGAGATTAAGAGCCCAGATCATGCGCGACATGGCTGACGACGATTAAGAAGGAGATCGAGTGTCGTTTGTCAGGATACCCGATACTTCAAGAGTTGCTGAGGTCGCGCTTTATGACGGTGAAGACCAGATGATGGAGAGGAAGTGGAAGGCCGAGACTGCGGCTGCAAAGGCCGTACCTGGCGAGGTTGACGATGAAGAAGTCGGTGTTGCGCGTGGACGCCTGATCCTGATCCACGCGAAGCACCTGGAGAAGAAATACCGGAGGCCGAAGCAGGGAGACCTCCTGATATCGTTGAAGGGGGTGTGGGTGACATTCCCCTTGGTGATGATGATAAAGAAGTCGAAATCGAAGGCGATGGAGCACCGCCACAAAAGCGAAGGTTGGCACTAAAAGCCGAGGCGAGGACTCTTGCGCATCTGTGCACTCATCGTTATCGCAATCCATATCGTGAGTCATGCATACGCGCGAAAATGAAGCACTACCGAACGAAGCGCGGAGCATTCCGGAGAAAGATCAAGGCATGGGGTGATTTGGTCACATCTGGTTTCCTTGACATGCGAAAGGCTGCGGACGCAGGACTACGAATTGACGACGGAGCAAGAGAAGTGTTGGTCATTGGTCGTTAGGGAACTTGCTACCAGGATGATTGCCCGCAATCCCTACTGAGTCACGACACACTGATCAAGTCGTCGGCGCATTGAAGAGGTTGTCTGGAAAACGAAAGGTGAAGATGGCCTACAGCGATGTCGCTCCTGAGTTCGAGGCAGCAATGAGCGAGTTGAGGATACCATTGGATCACTCATTACCTGGCAGAGCTGTTGATGAAAAGCCTGCGTGTAGGAACGCACGAGGAGCTGTCCGAAGACGACCAAGCTGGGGAATTTGTGCGGTTTGCTTACGGCTTCCTCCCAAACATGATGGACACGGGGGATGACGATGGAAGCTGTCATCCTGCCGCTATGCCGGCCGAGAAGTCAAGCAAGAGGACTTCTCTGTCGCGTGACAGGAATCCCGATGGGCCGATGGGGTAGTAGTGATTGATTCTGCAGGACGAATGTCACTCAAGCATCTGAAGTACCTGAGGGGTCGAAGGGTGACAAGTACTATGTTATTATGTGCTGACGGCCAAGCAAGAACAACAAATCTTGGAACGTGAAGCTGCGACGGAGCCAGTTAGTACATCTAAGCTGTTCCAAAAGGACGACATCGGACGAAGTAAGTGGATCGACGATTTGGAAAACCGTCTGCGCGCCAGGGACGACAAGCAGGTCTTTACAAGGGCGAGACGTAAGGATCTACAAAAACTCTCGGCCTCGAAGACCATGAAGATCATCTACCGGCCGTGAATCTTTTCCGCAGCAGACGCACCGGCGTCGAGCAGCCCATGCTGTTGCGGCTTAGTTTTGATGAAACTGGAGCGGCGACGCATGACCTTCTTAGGTCGCACATCCGGTGACCTAGAGAGCTTAGCTTCGCGGAGCAGTCTTTACGGCAGTCTGTGGAAAGTCCACTGATGAGTACTGGGGCCAAAGTTACAAGAATTTGTCTCGGGGCATGAGCTTTCGAAGCAGCGAAATCCGTCGATCAACGCTACCGCCGAGGAGGAATGTGCGAGGTACGCCTGCATGGACGAGCAACTCATGGAACTTGTGGCCTTATGGCTCGCCAAGTACACCAATCTGAGACCTCTGCAAGGGTCTGAGAAACTCGAAGCTATTGCCGAGGCCATCACTTCGCCGGAGGATGTTTTATGTGGCGACGACGAAGTGTATGACAGCAGCCCAGCATGGGCATTGTGTAGGAAACATGCGAAAGCGTGTAAGGATTTCATCATGCAACACTCAGCACGTGCTTTGTTCTACGCAGAAAGCAAGATTGGCAGCAAGCAGCGTGCAACAGACCGTATTGAAGATGTTTGGAGCTGCTGAAAAGACAGTTTTAGGTGTCTGCACTCTGAGGCGTTGCTGCATCGTGCGCCCCAAAATCTGCAAGCACCCTGTGAACGTGGTCATGTGTTAAGCTTGCAGATCGGAGAAGGAGGCCATTCAACAAAGCAAGGCACTGTTACCAAGCAATAGAGCTAGCAGCCCTTGTCAAGCAGGTTTCAGACTTGGAGACATTTTTCGATTCCCAGCCTGCCAAGCCTAAATCCGCCACATCCTTCACAAAGTGCCCGACGGCGAGGACAAACTTACCTTCTTGTCCTCGCGGATCGCTGGTGAGCTCTTTCATTCTCGAATGCCTTCTTCTTTTGATGTTCCGGGCTATGGCTATGTCTTACTATGCTTGAACAAGAGTGGCAAGCGCGTGGTCGACAAGCGCGAGCATTCCCTATCCGAGGTCACTGACATCCACAACACGGTGATACGGAAAGGTATTGAAGCAACACAAGAATCAAGCTGCGGTAGTTGGCGCGGATACCGGTCTGGGTGATGGGTGATGTTCTGATGTCCAAAATCGGTACTCTTCCGAGCTTAAAGGTGTTTTGGGTGAGGTTTACCAGAAGATCGAAAAATAATAACATCGCCATCGATCCTTCGTTGCAGGTTGTGCCTCGGACAGCGTTGCACAACGTTCACAAAAGGTCCGCCGCTAAGCTTCATTCCGTAGATAAAACATTTGCAAGCACAGAGAATATTCTTTCAGGCTCCACTTGATGTGAAGAACCTCTGCCCAAGCATCCACAGCGAACACCTGATTAGGAACTGACCACAGCCGTTTATCAGCACCAGGGTCATGACGGATGTCATTGTGCAGTTAATGCAAGTGATCCTTCGAGACCATTCATACAACGTTGCGGTTTCAAGCTTTCGGCATAGCAACTGGATTGCGCCCAGGCGTATGCTTAACCAACATTTACTGCAACGAAGTCGATATTCTGGCGATGCAAAGTCATGCAGACACTGTTGCCTTCCAGGTTTGTCGATGACTCCGTCGTTTGTGCAGCTGACATCGAATCTCTCAGAAGTACCAAAATCTCACAAAGACACGACATCATTTGGGAACTTGCATCACAGAGTGGCCGTAGATTTTTCATAAGCGTTTTGTCGCTTTCCTCAATTTTGCTGTGTCTCATGATGCTGGTAGGCAGACTTAATGTTTCAAGAAGCCCCTGAATAAATATGTGTACATACACCATGGCAGTTGTAAACCCAAGCATAGTTTACTCGACCTTGCAAGGGGGTGAAAGGGTCTCAGGTAACGAATTGAACCACGCCACGGAGGACAACCGCTGCCTGAAAAAATCGGCCTGTAGGGACTTATCTCCACGCAGCAATGAAGATATTGGTGCTGATGGATCCTGCTCAACTGAAAGATGCTTCTGACGACACTTGAAGCCGATCAGTATCCGTGTGATGGTTTGGTAGGCGTGCCCCTTAAAGAGGTCGACGCCCGATCTGTACAAATCCTTTCCCAAAAATCCGGTCCAAAGGACCACCCGTACCCGTAACAAGCGAAGCGTCTTCGCTCCCGCCCGAGGCCTGTGCAGGACTACCTGTACACAAGTACACCATTCCCAAAATCACTGTACTTCTCGCCATCGGAGGCCGAATAGCGCATCGTCCACAGGCCAATGTCGACCGAGAGGGTGAGCCCCCCGGCAATCAACTTCCCCGCGCAGTAGACGGTCATGCCCCAAAACTCCCCCAGTCCAACATCTCGGCGGCCGGGGTCGAGCCGCCCCCGCCGTCCTGCAATCGCGTCTCGGCTCCCCCACAGAATGGCGCTCATAACCGGCACCCTCGGCTTGGGTAGCGCCGAGGCCCAGCTCGCGAGACCTGCAACCTGCAGCGGCTGCCTATATGGTCAAGCTCCCTAGTGAGCTGGCCACCACAACACCAGCACTTGATGCTGTAGCGGCCTCCATGCCCTCAAGGCTGGAAGCCATGCCGCCAGGTTGCGAAACAAGCTCAGCGAATCCTTGCGTCGGCTTCACGTTTCCCAGCAGAAGCGGCATCGCGGTGGCCGACGACACGTTAGGCAAACGGGCCTACATTCGCGCACGAAGGCAAAAAGCTCCGGTTGCTGAATCGAGGGCATTGGGTGCCGACAGTGGAAGAAACGGTGAGCAAAGCAAAGTGTGAGGGGCGCGGAGTTCCACGGGTCGCATACGCGCAGAGCGGCTCGTGTTTGTGCTTGCAAGCCATGGGCCAGGGGGTCCCAAAACCAATCCCGTGACCACGTGGCCGAGGCGAGCTCGGGAGCACGAAGGAGAGCCTCAGCCAGGGCCTGGGTCCGCAGTCCGCAGCATGGGCCTTGCATGCCTTTGAGAGTCAGAAGCAAGCTGATTGCAAGAGTACCATTGCAGCCGTTTACATCGGACTGCTGGTTGAAAGGCAGACCTTCGCTCGAGGGTTCTTCGGGAGTCGGGAACCGATGTCATGAGGGTTTTTCTCCGAAGAATACGCGGCATTGCAGCAACCAAATCTTGTCGAACTGCACTTGTTCTGGTGAGAGAGAAAGTCGGTAGGAAAATCCTTGAGCTTCTCTTAAGATGCAATGGACACGACACACCTGTCGCAAGGCGGAGAGCCAGGAGAACATTGGGGGCGGCCAGTTGGCTCGCTTGTCTTCGTATGGAGGCGACCGCGATGCTAAGCTGCTAGCTGCTAGGGCTCGCGCTAGGGCTCGCGGGGCTTCGTGCGGCTGCACAGGCGAGACGGCGGCAGCTTCTCCTGGTCTTTCTCTCCCTCAGCCCCGTTGCTTCTCTGAAGTCGACAGACCTCCTGCAGAGATGGCTCGGCCCCCCGCCCTTGCCGAAGATCGGAGAGGTGCCTGGCGGTGCCTCGGAAGGGGAAGGCCTGAAGAGGTGAGCTGTTTTTGGTGCGGCTTAGAAGGCGCGGCTCGGGCTCGGGCACCGTTCCGCGACCGAGCGTGGGGCGCCCAAAGGAAGCGCACGAGCTTTACGGGATTGTCTAAGACTTTGAAATCGATTTTGAGTCTCTGAGGCATCGAGTTCGACCTCCAGGCCAACGCCTGTAGCGGGCCGCATCGGCAAATATCGGCAACCTTGCGTCGTGCTGAGACCTCTGGCAGGCCGACCCTGGCAGCCCTGGCATTCGAGGTGGCGAGCTCAGAGCTTGCAGAACCGCCGCCTTGCGGCCTTGCACGCGGCCAGGATCGGATGTACCCTTCCGGGTTCTGGCACTCAGCGTGCATGCGATTTGTTGCCAGCTGCCGTGAAGTTTTTACCCAGGACGCTTTGCGAAACCATCCAGATTCAAGCCTGCGGGCTTCTCGAGTTTTTGGCCTGACACCTTGCAGCCTTGCGCATCCCCGTGACCCGTGTGGCGAGGTGGAAACCTCATCCTGATCCAGTAGGCGCGCCAGCTGTGCTGCAGGAGTAAGCAAGAGAACTGAGTAATACGGCATAAGCCGTCGTACAGCAAAACTGGGACAAGCTAGGAGAGCTCCAAATCAGACACAGACACGCTGCCGAGTCGAAAGGGTGGGGTTCTACCATGTCCACGTGGCCACGGCTTTTCTCGGTGGCCTGTAGGGATCTCCGCGGGCATCGTGGTCTTCTTCTATGCCGTCTATTCCTTGTACAAATACCAGCGCGAGGCGCGTGAGGCGACGGCACGTCTGGGCTTGCTGAAGCGATGCCTCCAGGCCAACCGCATCATCAGCCTCTTTGAGGCCAACACCCAAATCAAGGCGGCCAATAAGAAGACTGCTGCCTTCGGGCCCTTGGCCTTGGAGCTTGGGAAGCAGCGCAGCGTCGCAGCGTCGCAGCCATGGCTCAAGCGCGCGGCGGGTGATCATGAGCTCCAATGTCCGAGCCCCTTCGCCATGGTTACTCTCCAGCCGTGGTCCGGGACTCCTATGCCCATCAGGAACAAGAGGACGAAACTCTGCAAGCACTGCGAGAACGCCTCGAATCTCTGCAGCTCGAGGAGAGGCAGACGTACTAGGAATAGGAAGTCACCGCGTCGCATCTGAGCTGGCAAGACAGGGTCTTCTACTGTAGATTTCAGTGAGCTCTTAGCTGTCTTGGCTCTTTGCGAGTCGAGAATGCGCAGGAAGAAGATTTGGTGTACCAGATCGACACACTCGACAAGGTGCCCCACAGCTTCCGCCTAGTCGACGTTCTTGTCACGGCCCATGGTGCTGGAGGCTTTCAAAACGCGAAAAGCTCCGCTGGCAGAAAACCTCCGACTCTTGCGTCACTTCCTCAGCGTCGAAGTGCACTCTCCGAAGAAGGGGACAACTCGCAAAAAACCACAAAACACTCCGAAGAGCCGAAGTGAGCTACTGCAGCTACTGCAGCTGCTGCTGCTACTGCTGCTACTGCTAGCAGCTCTCGGCTCGGCTCTTCGGCTCTCCCCCAAGGAGAGAGCACGTCTCCCCCCCCCCCCCCCCCCCCCCCCATCCGCGAAACCCTGCAATCGGCAGAATCGCAGCAACAGCAGCCGGCTCATGTGCCTCTTGAGTATTTGCATAGTTTGTACATCATTTCATTAATCATGAATAAATACGTGTGCTGCACATCTGTAGTCATGGCAGGTGATGCATGCGTGCTTTTGTAGGGAAGACATGTGTCGAGCTGCAAACCAGCAATGCCGGACTCGCTTCAGACATTAGAAGAATGTGCAAAAGAGCAAGCCGCCAACTGCGGACGAAGATATACGGAAGCCCTCTTGCATGATTGAAGGTGATGGCATCCATGACAAGGACGGGGAAGTCCGGTTCTGCTACAGCTACAGCTGTCGCAAGACTTGCCGCAACTCCCTCTTCTCGAGAAACGTGCCGGTAGTTCTCCGAGGATTGTTTCCAGTAATCGGAGTTAGTAGTTTTTCCTGTTGTTAGTTTCAACCCTGTCTGTCTGAGTCGGCTCGGTGCACAAGTCTTTCCCGCAGTCTCAGGATTTCTCCGACATGTGAAGCTTTCAAAGGGGGTTGTGGTTCCCATTCAGGAGATGGCCATTTGGAATTTGGACCATGGAGAGGAAGAAGTGCTAGGTCCGAGGAGCCTGGCCTTCGTTCACGGCTGCTGGGCATGGATCAAGAGCTTACAATGAGCTCAGTAGCAGCGCTTTTTTTCTGAGGTCATGTCTTTGCGACGGTCTGCTCCCTGGTCTCCCTCTCAGCTCGCCGCTCCGGCGCTCCGATCCGATCCTCTCACTTCGAGCCGTCGGGAGCCGTCTTCGTCGAGCCGTCGAGCCCCTGAGGTGATCGTTGCTAACATGGTTGTCATGTTCGTGCAGTTCCAAGCCGAGGAGGCCGGAGTTACTAATAATTCAAGGTGTTGTCCCAGGCGAATTCGCCTAGAGGACGTCCCTGTCTGTATCATGTAAAAGACCAGGAAAGGAACCAGGAAAAGTGCTGAGAAGCAAAGACTAGTTTTCGAGACGGTCCTTCCTCTGCTTAGTGGCATGGGGGATGCTCCTGCAGAGTTTTAGAGACTTAGAAAGTTTTCGGGTCTTGTGCCTGGCAGAAGCAGACGTGGTTCGCTTTAGCTGACAATGGCTTCCTCGTCTTCTACTGCCTGGAGCTGGTCTTGAAGGCTCTTTTCTACCAGGGCGGCCTCCTCTTCGGCCGCTGCTCCACCGACCCTTGGCCGCCTGAGGGCCGCCTAGGCCCTTAGCCGCCTTAGTCGTTTTGGCAACCGCCACTTCGCAAACATGCAAACATGCTAGGTATGGTGGAATTGGCTGGACCTGGTCATCGTGGTCAGTGGTCTCCTCGAACAGGCTGTCTTGCCTCTTCTGGGGAGAGGCGGCCATTTGAACCTCACCGGTCTCAGGGCTTTGCGGCTTTTGAGGTGCCTTGGCCCGCAACAGAATGCAACCTCAAGCCGTTTATCCGCGCGATCCGTTTCGCCGATCCGCGATCCGTTTCGCGCCGCGTTTTGTCGTCGCAGAGAGAGCCGCCCCGGGCGGTTGCTGGCGCTGCCCGGGCCCGCCCGGGCCCCCGGGCCCCCGGCGCGCCGCTCGCGCCGCTCGCGCCGCTCGCGCGCTCTGTTTTCTCTGCTTTGCTGCGCCGCGCCCCGCGGAGTCGCTGAAGTCCTACTGCAGGGCCTGAACTGCAGGGGCTTTGGCGAAGTTATGATCTAGGCTGCCGTAAACTGCTTATGTCATGTGCCTCAGCCGACATATGTCAGGTTTACCAGTGGTCCCCACTAAAAGTCACTAGACTTGTCGTGCCTGGATCAGGGTTCCTTACCGCACTTTCAGAGCCCGAAATTCCACATCTCAAGCCCCAAGTGGCAGGGGTCATCAGCAATGGTTTCGCTGCGGACAGGTACTTAGTATCATCCAACATCCTGGCTAGGGTGGAACCATGCTGCACAAATAACAGCATCGCCACGCCGCATTCGACTTTTGCTAAGAGCACCATACTACAAACACCAGTGTAGGCAACAGGACAGCAGTAGAGCAATGGAACCGTCAGCTAAAGAGTACCTTGGTCAAGTATACACGAGTACTGGCAGTAAATAGAGCTAGCATGGTATAAGGCCGTAAGGCCGTAAAGCATACTGCGAATGAGCTGATCAGTGTACTGAAGCAAGTGCAGTGTGGAGACACACCCAGAGCAAAATGATACGAGTGGGAGGTTTGAAGAAAGACTTCGTCACTTGCCGACTAAACTCATATAGGGACTGATTTGCCGAGACTGGCGCGGGTGGCGCGTGGCCTCAAGCTTCTTCGATTTCTGGTGGAGTCCGATCTGTCTTGGACGCAACATCCGGCCTTCGAGAGCTTTATGATGGGCATGATCGTCTTGAATGCCATCGTGCTTTTCGGCGGAAAACGGCTTTAGCAAAAAGCAAAGAAAGATAGAATCTCTCATTTTCTTGACAATTTTCGCCTGGGCCATTTTGAACTGCAAGGAGGCTCTTTCTTTCTTTCGTTATCTCTCTCGCTCTCTCTCTCTCTCTCGCTTCCGAAGCCTCCGTTGTTTGGATGGCTTGTCTGGTCCAGGATGTGGCTGGAGCTGGACTACCCCGTGGCTTTTTGGGGGATCCTGGAGCACGGGCTGCTGGTGATCTATTCCTTTGAGCTCACTGTCCGCGTCTGCTTCCACGGTTTCTGCGCCTACTTCGACCTCCGCCACGAGGACACGACCTGGCACTACCTCGACTTCGTCATCGCCGCCTGGCAGGTGAAAAATCGGGGTTCGAAGAAGAGCCAAAGCTCTGCCAGCAAAGCTCCGCCGCCAGTTGGGGGGCACAAAAAAGCTGAGGTCATGCTCGGCGCCTCGGCCGCTGAGCGCGCTCAGAGCGCGCAGAGCAGAGCGCGCGCGGAGCAGAGCGCGCTCTCTGCACCTGCACGCATCTATAGATTGCGTGCGCTGAGGCGTCTTTGAGCAGTGGATGATCCCATCTTACCAGTATCTGCGGGGACTGATTCTGGGTCCCAGTCACGCCTCTACAGTCTCGATGCCTGTTGCGGCTTGGACAAGAAAGGCGCTAGGCTAGATCCTTTTTGCTTCTGTTTGGTGCTTTCTGGCTTTCCTTCAGGTCCGAAGCTTGCGGGTGGCCCGTGTCTTCCGAGTTCTACGCCTCGCTCGCTTGCTGAGGACCCCGTGAAAGGGAGCGCCAAAGGGCCCGAACCCGAACACGGAAAGTTGACACTTAGGGGCTTTGGGACATTTGGGACAGGAGTGTAAAGCAGCTTTACAAGCTCATCAATGGCGTGGTGCAATCGCTCGCAAGTGTCGGATGGGTAATTCTTCTCACGTTCTTGCTGCTGTATTCTGCTGCTCTGGTGTGTCCTGGCACTGACATATTTCATTCATGGGCCTTTGTTGCCATCTCTTTTCTGGACTCGTGACGCGGCGCGACGTACTGCTGAGGTTCACCTCCTTAGTAGGGCAGGGGTACATTTACAACGATCCTGACGAGATGCCCGAAGAAGCTGTCCAATACTTCGGAACGGTCTGGCGTTCTTTCTTGGCGCTCTTCAAGCTGATGAACGACGACCAGTCAGTGGTTGCCCCCATCATCACCACGATAACTGGTCAGATCTTGTTTTATGCGTTTATGATGCTCTCTAATTGGATGATGCTTGCGATATTGACTTCTGTAGTGTCGGACAACATGATGTCGGCAAGTCGAGTGAAGGAGGAGGAGGACCGGAAAAAAGCCTTCGAGGAGGACCAGCAGCGGGCCAAGCGGCGGATCCAACAGATTTTCCACGAGCTGGACGAAGATCAGAACGGCTCCATCTCTGAGCAGGAGATGGTGACACTCCTTTCCGACCCAAATCTTCAGGCAGAGCTCTGCGAAGCTTCCCGTCTTCACCCGGCGGATTTAGTCGAGATGCTCTACTGCAGCAGCCAGGAGCCCAGCTGAGCCCAGGGCCAGCCCATGTCAGGGCCGCAGTTGGCAGCTCGATTCGCCAGGTTACCGAACGCCCTCGAACGAGAGAGTCATCCTCTACCGCCAGTTCCTGACAATGCTGCAGGAGCTTCCCTCTTCCCTTCACTGTGACACTTAGACCGTGCTTCGGAAGGACGAATCCGGGCAAGCGAAGGAGCGATCTATCTTCAAGGTCTTGGAAAGCATGAGGGCGGCTGGGCCAAAGCAGAGCGGAGCGACGGAGCGAGCCTTAGCCCTCCAACCTGCGGTGTCCCAAGGCCATGGAGTTCCGACTGGAGAAGCGCCTGAACGCCGCGCTCCAGTACTTGAACGTCTCACCCGAAGAGGCCCTTCAACGGCCCTGCGCCTTCGCGGCGACCCCCGCCCGCTTTCGAAAGCGCTTTCTTTCGAGGTGGATGGATTGCCTTCGCTGAATCAAGAGCTGGAGCGCACACGCCACCTGGTTGCATTTTGCTTGAACCTGCCGTCAGGCTCCGCCCAAACTAAGGAGAGCTGGAGGATTCTCCAGCGCGCTCCCTCGCCAAGCATCTCTCGCGATCAAGGGTCTCGCCCTCGCGATCAAGCATCTCAGACGGCACCTTCACAACCTGAAGTCTGAGAGAAGGCAAGGCGGCGCTGAAAGGCGGATGGATACTGAATCCGGCGCCTTTGAACGATGAGTGCGCTCTCTCTCCGCTCGCAAAACCCTGGCTGAGCGCCTCAGCGCCTCTGAGCTCCCCCATCAAAAAGATGGGTTGGGAGAGCTCAGAGAGCTCAGAGACGTGTCTCACCCAAATGCCAAAAAGAGAAAACACCGGCTCGCCTCTTCTCCTCTTGTGCTTTCGCTCGGTTGAGAGCTGCAGGAGCTCTCCGAGAAGGCAGCACGCGGAGAGCCTTTGCCGAGCATCGTGGTGCGCCCCCCCCCCCACCGCGACCCGTTTCTTTCTTGCATGCTCTTCGCAAGAACAGCACACGATGAGTGTTCTTTATGATCAGCCATGGCGAGGGAACTGCAGATGTTTTCGGTTCTGTACTTCATATTGAGAGAGCTGTCGTGTCGCAGAGAAAACTCCCACAAACAAGCTTGGAGAAAGCGTTTCGGATCTTCGATCGATGGGCTTTCGCAGCCGTCATCCGTCGGTTTCATAAGTCACGAAAGGCGGAATGGGTTCTGTTTAGACAGCCTTACTTCTTTGCCGTTCCGATCTGCTTCGCCAGTGCATGGTATACGTCCGGTGAGGTTAGCGCCCGAGGGATGACAAAGGCATTAGAGGCATCAGAGGCATTATGCTGCACAGCTGCACAGACAGGGGAAGTCAAGATCTCTAAACTCGGCTACTAGCACTGCCACTGCTGCCAGCCGTCTTCAAATTTTACGTAGATGGAGCAGGTAAGTGATGAGCTTTGCGATGCCATCCTGGACGGCTTTTGCATTGAATCCCAGTCAAGACAGTGAGGACAACGAGTGACAGAACGAGAACAGGAAGGGCACAGAGTTGTTAGCGTTCTCTCTTGCGTGCAGAGAGACGAGAAGAGCAAGATGACGTCAGAAAGAATCAAAACACGCTCATGACAGGATCAGAGAGGACATGGAGAAAGAAAAGAAGGAGAGCACAGAAAAGCCTTAAAGGAAGTGCAAAAGAATATCCGAAGGGACTTTCAAGAAAAAGCTTCACAATCGAAGGACAAGGACAGCAAAGTTCACAGACACAGGAAAGACGAAGAGTAGTGGAACAGAGAACACCTTCCCGGATCAGCTCGAGACATTTTACAGGGTGACAGCGGCCCCAAGCCACGAAGCGAGCGTCCACATTGTGCTGCAGGTCATCAGAGGCCACATTGGAGCTGATGGTGGCGACGTCTGCACGGTGGGCGCCTCTAAGCTTTGCTGAGTTCTGAGTGCCGTGCCCCCCGCACTGCCTGCACTCTGCCTGCACTCTGCCTGCACTCTGCACTGCACTCTGCACTGGCAGGTCTCAACAGGAATTCATGGTCTCAGGGAGCGCATCGGTGAGATTGAGCAGCCAAAGAATGCGTGGATCGAAATTGCTCGACAGGCAAACGTCGACATGGTGTGTTTTCTGTTTTGTTGAGGGTCCTGTTCCGGGAGGCTCATGTGCTAGAGGCGAGCCTGTTGGAAAGGCGAAGTCTGATCCGCAGCTGCGTGGGGTGGCCGATGCCGTGGTGCAGCGGACGGGCGTGGATGCCGACGACGTGCCCGAGGTGCCGAGGCCTCGGAGACTCGGAGACTCGGAGACTCGGAGGCCGAGGACAGGAGGACAGCGGTCCCAATGGGAGCACCGCTTCGCCGCTTCGCTTGTCGCTTCGAGGCCGGAGCCCGGAGATCCCTACGCCAGGCAAAGCGAGAGCAGCGAGAGCAGCGAGAGCAGCGAGAGTCGTGACTCGAAGCTGAACGACTGCCAGGCAAAGCAAGAACCGCGGCGAGGCGCGCGCGTGGGGCGGCGCACTGCGAAGCTCCCCTCGCATCCGCTCATCCGCTTCTGCCTTGCCCTTGCAGGGATCCCTGGTGGTTGCTGAGATCCTCGTGGCCAGGTGCACGACTTTCGCAGGCTGTCTGTGAGCCAGTGTGACCAGTTTTCAGGATCTGTGCGAAACATCAAAGTGTCCGGCGGGAGAAGACCACGAAGAGGGCACGGCCCAAAACGCTGAGTGCGGTAGTCTGTTGCAGTAAAGAGCTTCCGCAATGAGGTGACCATCAAGCGCCCTCGCAGAAATGAGAGCTACAACTGCCACCCCGCCACGATGGAGCGAGCGTGCGCGCGCACAGCAGCCGTGCATTGCTTCTCGGGCGCCAGGTTTCCACGGAAGGCGGGTGTCCGACAGACTCCACATCATCGATTTGGACGGTGCGCCTCTGCGGCCCCCCCCCCCCCGCCGGCTCTCATTGGCTCGTTTTCGCAGCGAATGCGGACAGGCAATCGGGCCGACATCGAGTTGCCACCTGCTGATGCAGTGGGCCTTGCAGGCCGAAACGAATGAGCATGTTCCTGCGCCTAGTAAACGTGTGTAACTGAGGTGTGAGCAGTGAGCATCATGTAGAAGTTGTGCCCTTGTACAGTAGGAGCTGCCGAATCCTGAGAGCTCGGGGTGTACGACTATGTGCAAGTCTCTACCGCCGGAATGCGTGTGTTTCCGGCCGGGCCTGGCTTATGGAAACGGCGATGCTGGTTGTTTGGATTGAGTTGTATCCGTTTTCGGAAATCTAGTCCCGTTCGAATCCTAACCGTCTTAACATGTCTTAGCCAGTTTTGACATAAACGCACCTGTCCTTTTGCGTTTGTGTGCCTCATAAATTTGACCTTGCTAGGATTCCACTCTTTGCCAAATTCACACCCTGCGGCCCGGCGCGTTCTACCAAGCTCAGAAGAGGACTATACATGCAACTGCATCGCGCCATGCATGTGTTGCAGCACGTGATGCACCATGTGGTATGTCACACGCGTTCTACCCGACAGTGCCAGCTGCACGCTGACGCGATACAGGTTGTGTTGCGCGTACTGTTCCTGCACTCTGACTGATGAATGTCTTCCGTGCCCCTCTACCCGAAAGAGTGTTCACTGTGCTGCGTGCGACTGCATCGGACTTGCCATGCGTAGCGCGCAGGCCTGTCGAGCGCAAGCCAACATGGCATATCAAGCGGATTTAATCTAGGTGTCTAACGTGTTTGTTGTGGCTGCTTCAGATGGCTACTTGTACCTACAGTGGCATCAGCCGCCTCTGTGGGCTGTCGCCCTGGGGCAAACCTTCGGCTGCGGCCGCAGGCGAGGGATTAGCCGGACGGGCCGGTGAAAGGCGGAGGAGAAGGCCTTGCAGACAAAGGAAGGCAGGTGGCTTGGAACGCGTGATGAGGACGGGCCCCCACGACGGGCCGGAGCGCCAGTGTGATCATGCTACCACCTGCCACCAGGTCAGGCTTGGACAGCCTAGCACGCAGCTTCCCCCAGGAAACCTGTCAAACATGTCGGGCTGAACGTGGGCTCCCCACTCTACAAGGACATCTGACTTGTCGAGTTCAAGCAGGCAAAAGCCGAAGACAGTCATAGATTGGCTTCCGAGTAAGTTGGTGGTGCAGAGTTGTGCTGGATCGAGGAAATGCTGTCGCCTACCAGTGTGATGAAGTACCGGGCATAATATCTTCAATGTAGGGGAGGGCGCGGGTCTGGAACGGGAGGCGGCAGTGTCCTCCAAATTTCCAGCTCTCTTGATGCCAGCAGCTCCTCCGATGCCGCTGGATTTACTACATCGCCTGCATCTCGGTGTTCTTGCCCTTAATTTTTCTTACAAGACCAACAACATCACGGTAAAACAACGAGGACAATCCTGCGCATGCGGTTCATCGATGACAAAAGCTGGAGGCCCTACAACCAGCAATCCACATCGCGATTCCCAGGGTACGTGCCATTCACGGAGTGAGGAACTTCGCCCAGCAATGGCCACCTGAAAATTAACAGTTGCCTCCGCCCGCCTTTGAGATTCACCCGAACACCTCCGCTGCCGTCGTCCGAGGCTGGCAGGCTAACGGTGTAACGAGCACCCCAGGTCGCCAAGAGAGAAGGGAGTTGGCTAACTAAACGGGGGCCTTCATGTATCTCGAAGGCTATGCAGGATTCCAGTCCCAACGGGGTTTTCGGATTGATCCAGTTTATGCTGTGCAGATAGCGGACCTCCTGATTTCCTGCCAAATCGAGGGAGCACTCGACCTGATATCTCTGATGTTGGTCGCGGTCGAACAAGCTGCGCAGGACCACGGCAAGTTGGATGTAGCTTATGTTCTTCCACTGTTCCTCGACCATCCGGGACAAGTCTTCATGAACAAAGGGCGTCGCAGAACCGCAGGTTAAAGGCCTAGGCCTAAACACCGTTGTGCCCGGCTCCCTGGGCAACCGTAGCACTCGCCTCTATGAAAGAGGCGGACGCAATACTTGCCAGGCGAACAGAGGCAACGGGGTCCTCTTGTGTGCTGCTGTAACAGGACGGCGACGAACCGAAAGAACCTCCTGGAAAACCCCGCTTCCCGAAGCCTCCAAAAGCCGATGCTTAAGTGGCCCCGTTCCCCTGCCTCTTGACTTTCTGTTGTTTGCTTTTCGTCCTTCTGGCTGACGCGCCAGCTCCTGCCACGGTGAACCTCGCAAAATTCACTGCAAGCTAGGGCTCTCGAACAATTGCCATGTGTACCATCAGCCCCTGCCTCGCCCTTTCGTGCCGTCAACTACCAAAATTCTATTTTGGCGCATGACCTGGCAAAGTAGATTTTCCACCCTTTTCCTGCCGGCAAAGAGGGCTGCGAGGCCAGTCCGTCACATGTCCTGAGCGTGCGCAAGGTCAATTTCCACAAGCCACCTACAGGAGTGTCAGGGCCCACGTCGGATTGCCTTTAGTCGGTGATCTTTGTCGGTTTGTTTTCGTATCATGCGGACCAGGACCCCTTTTCGGCTTTCCTGGCCTCCCTTTTGCACCTGACGCCGGCCGGCGAGCCGCCGCCTGCCAAGTCTTTGTTCCCTCTGCTTCTGCCCAACTTGGGGTTGTATAATAGCCCCGCATGTAGGATTTATGGATTCAGTCGCCTCAGTGTTGGTGACATTGAGAGCCGTATGACCCGCCATCTGCATAGCGGTAAAATTCAATCCACGAAATCTTATTCGCTTCGGCTGACACCGCCAGCAAGTGGGCGGACGAATGCGATCTTGGAAAATACAATATCATCCGATATGGCTCCTACAGGTCCTTCGTGCAGCTACCAGATCCTCGAGATTCGAGACTACATCTGATGAGCAGGTTGAATGGAAGAGGGCGTACATGGATTAGCTTAAAACATCGGAGCTCCCTGCGCCTGATCCAGGTGACGAAACCGTGCTCTCTCGAAGGCACAAAGCTCAGGAACATTGTGCTGTGCCTAACGGCGTGCGTCCCATTCGCTCATTTCACGAAAAAGTGATGTCACGAGCGAAGAAAGTTGCCCGAGATAAAGCTCGACTTCGACGCAAACTTGCGGCACTGCAAGGTCAAGGTTGCAGCGATTCGCAAAGCGACTCAAGCAGCTCAAGCACCAGCACCAGCGATTCCGAGTGAAACGAAGGTGGCACCAGCTTTTCTTGCAAGCGTTGAAACCACATAGAGCTACAGGCGCCCTCGCGCGCCCTTGCTTTAACCTTGAGATTCCTGCATATTCAGCCGTTCCTGGGCAAGAGTTGCAGCTGGGGGTTCGCGCAGGTGGCAAGGTGACGATATCGCAGTAGGTTTCATTTCAGGTTTAATGCCTTTGGGGTAGTAAACTGTTGGGTTTTAAAGGTTTAAAACCCTTGGGTAGCAAGCGTTGAGGTTTTCGAGGTTTAAAGCCCGTTGGGGTAATAATTAAACCTTTGGGTTTTAGAGGTTTACAGAAGGAGACTTTGGGGTTTTATAGATTTCCAGCCCTCGGGGTCGTAAACTTTCGGATCTTACTGCTACTGGTACTACTGCTCCTTCTATTGCTTCTGCTGCTGCTGCTGCTGCTACTGCTATTGCTGCTGCCACTACCACAACTCCACGTCTTCCTCCTCCCCCTCCTACTACAACAACGACTACTACTACTCCTACTACTCCTACTACTCCTACTACTCCTACTACTCCTACTACTCCTACTACTCCTACTACTCCTACTACTCCTACTACTCCTACTACTCCTACTACTCGTACTACTCCTACTACTCCCACTACTCCTACTACTCAAACTACTCCCACTACTCCTACTACTCCTACTACTCCTACTGCTACTACTACTACTACTACTACTACTACTCCTAAGGCGTCTCGGCTTGAACTTAGCTGGTGTGTAGGGCCGGCCTCTTGTTACGATGGCTTACTGCTGGACCCTATTGGTGGCTTTGGTTTTCATCAGCACTGGCCCTATTGAACCCTATTCGGCGGAGCCGCGCAGGTCCCAAGTCCTGCGGCAAGGCACTCGTGAACCTTTCTTTTCTGCTATGAACAGAGGCCTTGTAGACCCGAGGGTTCGAGCGGGATCCGGTACCGCTCGGGGAGTTTCTGCTGCTGATGTGGCGGGGACGAAAGATTCCGGTATGGAGACGAGTTTCACCCACAGCCGCTCCCGAAAGCGGTCGTACAAACGTGCCTGCAGAAGGGCACAGACAAGTGGAGGCGCATGGTATCGGGGCGCCTGGCGCTCGGCGCGCTCCCTGGGCATTCACTCAGATGAGCATGCACGGCTGGCAGCGCAAGGCACGCGCACGCGAGGGCATACGACTCCTGGACCAGCAGCCCGTTTGAAAGTCATCTCATATAATGTTGGTGGCGTCACTGCCGAACTCTATGACATCCTAGTCACTTGGCTCCATCAGCAGCACAACGCAGACGTAGTCATCCTACAGGAAGTGCATCATGGACTTGGCAAGCAGGACGGGCAGTGGACGGTAGGGGGCTGGCACTTCATTACCTGTGTAGACCCTTCTGCGCGATACTCCGGCCTTTGCGTCTGTGTTTCAAACCGCTGTGCCTCCCGGGATGAGATTGTCTATGGTGCATGGCTGCCGGGCCGCTTGTTGCATGTTCGGCTTACGGGAGGCAGTGTGCCGGTCGACCTTGTGGCCGTCTACCAGCGAGTTCTGCAGGACCGCCACAGTGACCAAGTGCAGAAGGACAGGGCGAAAGTGTGGGCTCAACTTTCCCGACTCTTGCACACGCTACCCGCCCGCAACTTGTTGGTGGTGGCTGGTGATTTTAACACTTCTTGCCAACGACTGGGGGCCCATATCGGATCCGGCACCCTATTTCAGTCTAGAACACAGGACAGGGAGTTTGGAAACATAGTGCAGACTTTTGACCTTTGCGTGCTTAACTCGTGGGGGAGAGCTAGGCCCTCGCACTGCTGTACTTTCATTAATGGTCTCACACGATCCCATATTGACTATATCCTCACACGACGGGCCCAAGCCGATCATCAGGCTCGGCGTGCTGGTCCTGTTGACCTCAATCTTGCGCCC